TCTAAAATAACATACTAAAATATGGAATTTTTTTGATATATAGTTTATTCCCAGTTCCTGTTTGAACAAAGGTAACTCAAGCTGGAAAAATATGAACACACTAAATTGGGCCTTATGGGTTACGGAAACCACTATGGTATATTAGATAAGTGTTGTAAATATTGTTAAGGGTCCTAAATATATAAGAAGCAATGACTTAGTAAAATGACTAGTGTATTGGCATATGATTGGCATAAAGGATTGAAAAGTGAAATGCGATAAGACTAAATGGCATAAAAATCTAGGGGTGTGTCATAATTGTCTAAAAGAAAGTAAGCAACAAAGTTTGTGTGTCTTGTATAGGGGTGTGCAAAAAAACTGGTTCACTTGCCCTGCCCTTGATCCGACCTTGACCCGACCCATAAATACCCATATTTTTTGAACTGGTTTAAATACTGACCTACTTTTATTTGGGTCAGTTTTAGACCTGACTCGTTTTAATATTGACCACTGACCCAAAACTTGACCCATACCCATTATGTGAAAAAAAATCACAATTACATTAAAAGAAAAGTTTTAACGTAAAACAATTACGTCAAAATTTTTTATGGAAAATATTTTCATAAAAGTTTTCGCAAAATTTTTTGACGAAAAATATTTTCATCAAAATTTGTGACTAAAAACATATCGGTAAAAAAATTTGACGGAATATTTTTTTTGTCAAATTTTTTTACGGAATCTAAATTTCGTCAAAATATTTTACAAAAAAATATATTCATAAAAACTTTCGACGAAACACATTTTCATCGAAATTCTTTGACGGAAAAAAATTTCATCAAAATTCTTTACAGATTTCAAATTTCGGCGCAAGTTTTCGACAGAAACATTTTCGTTAAACTTTTTGACAAAAAAAAATTTCGTCGAAATTTTTACGAAACACATTTCTATAAAAAAAATTCGACTAAATATTTTCGTCAAATTTTTTGATAAAGAATATATCCATCAAAATTTTCAACGGAACACATTTCTTTAAAAAGAATTCGTAAAATTTTTTGACAAAAATATTTCGATAAGAAATATTGACAGAAAAAAATATTTTGTCTATATTCTTTAGAGAATCTAAATTTCGTCGAAAGTTTCAAATGAAACATTTTCCTCAAAACAATTTTCATTGAAAATTTCGACGAAACACATTTCCATCAAAAAATTTCGTCGGCAAAAAATTTTATTAAAATTCTTTACAGATTTCAAATTTCGGCGAAAATTTTCGACGGAAATATTTTCGTCATCAAAAAGTTTTGACGGCAAAAAATTTCATCAAAATTCTTTACAGATTTCAAATTTCGGCGAAAGTTTTCGACGAAAAAATTTTCGTTAAACTTTTTGAAAAAAAAAATTTTCGTCGAAATTTTTAGCGAAACACATTTCCATTGAAAATTTTCAACTAAATATTTTCGTCAAGTTTTTTGATAAAAAATTTCCATCAAAATTTTCAACGATGCACATTTCTATAAAAAAATTACATAATTTTTTTTGACAAAAAAAATATTTTGACGAAAAAAATATTCTGTCAAAATTCTTTAGAGAATCTAAATTTCGTCGAAAGTTTCAGATGAAACATTTCCCTCGAAATAATTTCCGTCAAAATTTTCGTCAGAACACATTCCCATCGAAATTTTGAACGAAAAACATTCCGTCAAATTTTTTGACAAAATTATTTTTTCGTTTAAAACATTTGATGGAAGAAATCATTTTCGTCAAAACTGTTGACGAAAACTAAATTTCAATAGAATTTTTTTTTTTTGTAAAAATTTCGACGAAAAAATAATTTTGACACGAAATTTTCGTCTTTTGCAACATAAAAATTGCGACAAAATTTTGTGAGAAAACCAAGTCAAAAATGGGTCAGGTCAGATTTGACCCACTTCAGAAACCAAGTCAGGTCAGATCCAAACCGGTTCTGAACTAGTTCAACAAAATCCAATCCAAGTCAGACCTGACTTGGATCAAATTAAAGCGGGTCGGGTCAAAATACCTGACCTATAAAAACTAAGTTGGGTCGAGTCGGACAAAAACCGGACCCGACCTGACCCATGCACAACCCTAGTCTTGTAGAATTGCATGACATTGTATCATTTTATTGAGTTTTGTTTTGGATTCCTTTTCTAGGTTTGCCTAGGGATTTTGGATTTGTGGATTATTTTGGAGAAAGCTAAGTAACTTGCGTGAGAGGTAAGCTCTATGTTTAAAGAGTTCTTTCCTATCTATGTGCTCCACCATGTTAGTGGACTATGGTTGATATTATATGATTGTCTTCTGATACTTAGTATAGATGCATTCATATAGAGCTATATGGAAATATGATATGTTTTGTTCTAATGTGATTACCGTGATGATTCTTGGCCAATGAATTTATGCGCACTGATTTTCGCTCGGGGTCCTCCCTTGGAATTGACTGTGTACACCTTTGTTATTTGTTGAGTTCCGCTTGGGGTCCACCCTTGGGAGCACGTGCATTGATTTTCGCTTAGGGTCCTCCCTTTAGAATGACTGCGTATATCTTTGACACGACATGTGAATATGCTCAGTTCTGTTATGATATTTGTTTATATGATGCTTTATATACTCTGTATCTGACTCTCATGCAGGAGTTGGCCCATGGTATGAGGATTTGTCTATAAAGCTAAAGCTTACTGAGAGTTATTATCTCACCCCGTTTGAGGACATCATTTCAGGTGTACAGATAGTCGGTAAGCCCTCACGGAGCAAGGATACGACCCATGGCTAGAGGTGCCGTAGTGGACTTGTGTGGATTTTGGGGTGATTCGTCACCACTGTTAGAGATCGGATCTTTGGGTAGCATTATGCTGCTATTATTTTGGAGGACATGTTTTTATTGCTTATAGCATTCTATTCATTTTGGGATCATAATGTCTGATCCATTATACTATATATAGTCTGTATATATTTTGTTTATGTCTTCTGTTTTGATGCATGAACATTTGTGTATTCAGGCATGTTATATGATGATGTAGTATTCAGATATATGCATGTGTATTCAGGCAAAACCTTTATTAGAGTAAGCCTTGTCTGGATTCTTGATAGACCCATGCAGTCGTCCATAAAGCTAAGCTTGTTTTTGGCCCTAAAGGAATTTTAAATAGCCTTATCCCCTTTCAGAAACACATTGATAAGAAGAATGTGTAGATTATCCGAGGATGCCACGTAGTGGCAGACCTAGATATTTTTGTAATAGAGGGCGAAAATAAAATTTTAAAATTATAAGGCACCCTAATTTTGTTCTATTTATTCGTAGTTACTGGAACGACAATAGGAACATATCATAAAAAGAGAGTAAGATAAATATAAAAGTATAGTAAATAGATTTATTTAAATTCACAAGATATATGATATTTAAGGTGGTGGAATACTCAAAATAAATTAAAGAAATAGAAAAGATGATATGAAAGTTAGCACAATCGATTATTTGTAAATGCTTGATCTATTTATAGAAAAGTTAATGTTTCTCGTGTTATAAGAGATACTTTTATCTCTTATATATATATATAAAAGTGTGTGCGACTTATATTTTTTTTCTTTTTTTTTTTACATGGTTCCACATAAATTTTTATGTGTTTGTAGGAGATAAAATTATCTCTTATAATATGAAGATGATTAATCTGCATAAAGTTTTCGTGGACCATTGCCATTATATACCTATGTCCTGAACTTTGCTTCTCTAAATCAAGTTAAATCACATTTCCCGCTAAGCCTTAGAATTTTAGCAAGCCAACAACCCAAAAGAAAGAAAGACAGCTGAAGAAAATTAGTCATAAAAAAGGAAACCAACCCCCCTCCTTTTTATCGGATTTAAAAAGTCGCCAAAGCGGAAGACACGTGCCCTCCCAGCCCCTTCTGTGTTTTTTTTTTTTTTTTTTTTTTTATGTGGATTGCCGCTTTTTTATTTTGTATTATATGGGAATGTGCGAAATATTATATAATAATAACGTTATGTTTTTTTTTTTTTAATTTATCTACATTATTAATTTGATCGAACTGAGCAAAATTATAAAAATGAAAAGATTCTCTCTAATAATTTTACAAGGAAGAATATTTTCACTGCCAAAATTTTTCACTATCAATTTACTACCTATCTAATCATCATTAGATTAACATTTTATCTTTCTTCAAAAACTTTTTAATATTTTCTCTTCAAAAACTTTTTATTTTCTCTCTTTGATCCAATGGTATGTGATGGGTAAGAAGCTAGTAGTAAAAATTTTTAGTAGTTAGAATATTTTCACTCTAATTTTATATATCCAAAATTAAATTTTGAAACCATTAATTAAATTGAAACGGCCAATTAGTCATGTGTATAGTGGTATAAACTACCGGCAGGTCAGTGTCACCAAGCATAATAAAAAGGGTCTTTCGGTGCATCACATGACACCTGTGTTGTGAGTGATTTATGGACGTATGTGCATTTCTCTAGTAGTCTAGTTGCCAATGTATTAGTATTTTTTTTTTCTTTTTATGTAAATAAATGTATTATTTCTTAAAGAAATGTTATAAAATTTGAGTGGTCGTAACAAAATTCAAAACTGAATTCGAAAATGTATATTTTAATTCGAAAGAGAATTAAAAAATAAAATAAATTTCATACATTTTAACTTATATTCAAAATTAAAGAGAATATTTACCTTTTCGTTTTTATACTTAAATGAAATAAACAAACGAAAATAATATCCCACTATTTCTCTTTGATTTATTTATCTCTTCTCAATGCTTAACGCTTAGAAACATAACACTCCAGGAATTCCTCACTCGATCTTGAAAAAATAAAATTAAAAACAAAGAGCGAAAATCTTAAAAAACTTTGCTATTTAGTATGTATTGTGTTAGAGATTAGAGTAGAATGTATACACGTATGTACGTATACGTACATATATACATACATACATTTCCATGTTATGTAGCGGGGGTGGTGCTGTTGTGTGGCAATTCCGAAGTACATCCTTTTTGTATCACTAGAGCGCCCTTCTCCTTCAATTTTCAATCACCGTAGCTACCACCACATACGATTACTCTCTCTCTCTCTCTGTTTGATATTCACGTCCTCGCATCTTTTCGATCTTTCTCCCTCGAAATTAGGGTTTACGGCTTCCTATTTCAACCTCTCCGATGCGATGTTCCCCGGCTAACTCCGCCTACAATCGCCGCCGGTTAACGGATCCAACCACGTCCTCCTTCTACCCTTTCTCACTCTTCCATATTCTTTTTCAGCATGTTTTGGAAACTCCCCTCTATCTCTGCCTCCTCTCCTGTGAGTTTTTCCTCTCTCTCTCTCTCTTTCTTTCTGGTTCTCTTCTGCTAATTAACTCGAATAGCTGAATTTTGCTGCATTTGAATTCCTATTCGATTCTTTATTTTCTTTTTCTGTTTTGCTCGTTAGTTGTAGCATCAATTAGTTCTGGTTTCCTTTTTCAAACGCGCTCAATTATTTAACATTAGTTAAGTTTTCTAATTACCAATCAATGAATTGTTCTTCCACTGTGCTTAGCTGATAGTTACCCAGCTGTGTCTTATTAGCGTAATTTCCATTTGCAGGCCGACCTTAGCTTATCTAGCGTGTTTTTCCTTGCTTTAATTCCTTTTGAATTCTAATTACTGCAATATGTGTGCTCTTTTTCTCAGTCTGCTGTTTCTTTTTAACGAATCTCTGCTTTAGTGGCATGCTATGTTAGGAAGGAGGAGTATCGATTACACATATTTGAGGATCTTTAGCGAATTATTCAATTAATGTTTTGTCCGTAAATTTTACTACCTTCTCTGTAGAATGTCCTTCCTCCGTCTTAGGGTGTTAATTTGGGCATACTTACCGAGCAATGAAATTTACTTAAAGCAAATACACTCAAATTATTGCAAATTTATGAAAAAGAAAGAAAGAAATAATACCATAAATGAGTCTTCAAGAGTTTTCACTTTATGTATTCTATAGATTTAAATTCGAAGGCACTTGGCCAAAATCTTGCTTTACTTCTTCAAGATTATCATATTTCTTTACTATCTCTGTAATGATAGATCTTTAGAGTGAAATTTCGTAACTGAAGGTCTCATAATTGATGGAGAAGAATATTATGATGGTGTCTTGATCTTATGATCAAAGCCTCAAGTGGCTCAAAGCTTGCCTGGCTTATTTACTTCCTCAATGTATCATTTTGTGTCACCGGTTCTCTGCAGGTGGAGGCACTATTGGACAAGGAGAACTTCACTTTGGAAGAGCTTCTGGATGAAGAGGAAATAATACAAGAATGCAAGGCTTTAAATAGCCGTCTCATCAACTTGTATGTTTCTGATCAGTTCGAAATAATAGAGTTCTTCCTTCCATAACAATTCCCCCCCCCCCCCCCCCCCCCACTATTGTGCTTATTTTGGTTTTTGATAGAGTCCAATGGCTATGATTGATCCATGTAGCTTTCCCCACCTAGTAGGAACTAAAGCTTGGTTATTGTTGTTATTTTACTTTTTCTGTATCTACCTATTTTTACGTCCAGTGTTAAGTGGAAGTAAGTTTAATTACATAAAGCACAGGCAGGATATGCAATGATGATTCAATGCAAGGTAATTAATAATTATTTGCCATTGTCTTGTTCTTTACTTTCAGTCTCAGAGATAGAGCTCAGGTTGAGCAATTGCTATGCTACATTATCGAAGAACCACCGGAAGATGCTGAAAACAAACGGCTCTTCAAGTATGCAGTCACAACTGAAAATTTGTTGCAAAGGAGCTTTATATTTAAATGTTTCAACTTTCTTGTTTCCCCCATTTTAACATCTGATCGTTGTTCTATAATTTAGGTTTCCATTCATTGCCTGTGAGATCTTTACATGTGAAATTGATGTCATTTTGAAGACCTTGGTGGATGAAGAAGAGGTTTATACTTAATTTTCATAACACACACACACACACACATATATAGATTTGATGTCATATAGTAGTGCTTTGCTTGTATTTATTTCCACTTACCATTCTTGTTATTGCAGCTCATGAACTTATTATTCTCCTTCTTGGAGCCCGATCGTTCTCATAGTACCTTACTGGCTGGTTACTTTAGCAAGGTATATGCTTGTTAATGTTGGAACATTTAGTTTTTTGACATTTTGTCAGCATTAGCTATATGGTTATATTAAAACTTCTTGCTCTATGCTAATTTTTATGCCATTTTGCAGGTTGTTATTTGTCTAATGATTCGAAAGACAGTGCCACTTATGAATTATGTTCAAGTAAGTAAAGCAATGTGCTTTTGTTGTAGAATTTTATTTTTATGTTATAATGAAAATTTTTAAGGAGACAACAAAGAACTACCGGGCAAAAAACTTCTTCCTTTCGTTCTTAGCACTTCTATGTGGATCAGTTTGTAGTCTATTTTATTATTAAGCTGTATGGTATATGGTTTTCTTGTGAAATCATCTTTCATTCATGCTTCCGCATACTCTCTGCAGACCCATCAGCATGTTTTTCGCCAACTGGTTGATTTAATAGGAATTACATCCATTATGGAGGTAAACTTCTATCTAGTAGTTATGACATTATTGAGAATCTTGCTAATGTGTTACAATGGGTTCTGAGATAAGTTCTTTGCTCAGGTTTTGGTTCGATTAGTAGGTGCTGATGACCATGCATATCCCAATTTTATAGATGTGATGCAATGGTTGGCTGAGAGCAACCTGCTAGAGATGATTGTTGATAAACTAAGCCCATCTGTAAGTGTAGCATCTATATTCTGGGTTTATATGTGCTTTAGCCAAATTTTTCTGATTAGCTGTATGTTGTGTATGCACCTAAACATCATGATATTCACTATATTTTGTAGGAGGGCTAGTTTATTTATTTATTGGTAGATAATCCATGGGAATGGGATGTTCTTTAGCCTACCTCACCTAGCCATTCTGCTCTTGCCCAGTATTAAGTGATTTGAGTCTTGTTCATTGAGCTTACATGAAGCCATAGGCTTGTTCTACAAGCATGAGTGCGTAATATCGGCCTGATCAAGGAATTTGACTACTTGACATCACATTTTGTCACTTGTCAGGGACACTGTCACAACTAATTCTGGGTTGTGGTGTTTTGGGTTTGTCGTCATAGGTTCTCATAAAATAAATATTGGAGCTATACATGGAGAGATACATGAAAGAAAATTAATCTTTCTGGGAAACAGAAAGATCCCAATTTGGTTATTCTTTAGCGTTTGAATTTTATAGGCTCTTTGCTGCCTTGTTGTCTTTTGTTAGAAATTATCTGAGAACTGTTTCTTTTCTGTTTGAACCAGAGTCCTCCTGAAGTTCATGCCAATGTAGCTGAAACATTATGTGCAATAACTCGAATTGCATCATCTACTCTGGCAATTAAACTTTCAAGTCCAAGGTTTTTATTGGAAGGCTTTACTTGTTTTTTTTTTTTTAAGCATACCTGTGACTTGATTAGTGAAGTTTTGTTACTTTGCAGTTTTGTTGCAAAAATTTTAGGTTATGCATTGGAAGATTCACAATCAAAGTCTAGCCTTGTCAACTCACTTTCAGTGTGTATTTCTTTGTTGGATCCCAAAAAATCAGCTGTTTCATCTTCACTTTTTCTCTCATTCCGAAGTCAAAACATGTATGAGCCACAAATTCCTGTAAACCCAGATACTGTTGGTGCAATGCTCCCTAAACTTGGTAAGTATAGTTTGTTATCCTCATATGGGCAAGAGTTTATATGCTCAATATTAGGATTTGACATTAGTTATATTATACTTGTTTATAATGATGATATGAAACACAATATGACTGGAGGAAATTATAGTTATCTAGAAAAGGTTATAGGCTTTTTTAATTATGTTAAGTTATGAGATGTAGAATTTTGGAGAATAATAAGAGATTTCTAAGAAAACTACTAAAAGGGTGATCCCTAGTCTACAGGAGGTATATAAAGATGAGTCCTCAAGAAAGGGGAAATATGTAAGTACAGTTTGTGTTTTTTTTTTTTTTTTGTGGTGGGGGTGGCGGGGTTATTTCTCTGCTGTAATGTGGGCTTTGTACGTGTTTTTTTTTTTTGGTTTGAGACTTTTAATTTATGGTTTTCATTTGCTGCAGTAGATTATATTTAGTTATCATTTCTTTGTCATGGTAAAATTAAGATCACTGGAAACAGTGCCATCTGGAGTTTGCCTATTCAAAAGGGCCAATACTTCTCCTAGAAGAAAGATCCCTATAGGCTTGCCAATAAAATGGATTTTAATTTGGTTTAAGTACTGATTTTTGATGAATAATTAATTTGTTGATGTTCTAGTTGCTATCCCCTATTCCCTTTTCTTTCTAGTCTTCTCTTCCTAATTCATCTAGTCATCAATAGCTATCGAAGTACTATTGGTCAAGATGTTGTGCACTTTAATCCTCAGAGGCCATGTTTTTTATATTTTTCCTGAATTAGAGGCTTGAAGAATGATATAGAAACTTTTTCGTTCTGTTTGGTATAAAATCTGGCACATTTTATTTAAGCAGCTTAATCACATCACCAGTAAGATTGCATATCTTGTCTGCAGGTGAATTGCTTGTGCTTTTGGATGTGTCATCCGATGAAAAGGTATTGCCTACAACATATGGTGAATTGAAACCTCCACTTGGCAAGCATCGATTAAAGGTTAGTTTTATATTTGTGTATCATAAATTTGCTATATATGGCTGGCCCCTGAAAACTATGTCACGGTCAGTTAAGGTTGAATTTTATTCCTCGTATAAGCTTTATTGTGTACTTCCGACATTCATAACGTCATCTTTGAATACGTTTTCTTTCTCTGACAAATGTGCAATTTATTTCAGATTGTGGAATTCATTGCAGTACTTTTAAAAACTGGAAATGAAGTGGCGGAAAAAGAATTGGTCAACTCTGGGACCATCCGACGCGTCATCGATCTTTTCTTTGAGTAAGCAACTTTTAATTTTCAATTTTGCAGAGTTGTAGTAGATGTTGGGAAAAACCTTGATGTATTCTGCATATATATTTCCCATCTCTTCTGTTGACGCAATCTCTACTAATTCAGGTATCCATACAATAACTCATTACACCATCACATAGAAAGTATCATATTGTCATGTTTGGAGAGCAAAATAGACGCCATTGTTGATCATCTTCTTCGAGAGTGTGATTTAGTTGGAAGGTTTCTCGAAGCAGATAAACATTGTATTCTTTCTGCTGAAAGCAATCAGGTAATTGAATGCTTCAAACTGATAGATGGGAGCTCGTGCATTGGCCATTACTTCTTCAGTTGTGTTTTGTTGAGATATATAAAATCATTAATGTAGCCTCACCCAATAGCTTAAGTTTTTGGGTTGCATTGGTTCTTTACATGGTATCAGAGCCTCGTGTCCCGGGTTCGATCCTCACTGCCCCCACTTTCTTTCTAGTGGAATTTCTTTGTTCGCACAGGTAGGTGGGCCTGTGCATTACCCTTCAAGCCCAGTGGGCTCTTGTGTGAGGGGGCGTGTTGAGATATGTAGAAAATTAGAATTCAAACATGTTTCCGTTTTTATTTCCTATTAATTAGGATTGATTATGATTGATTAGGATTGATTATGATTGATTAGGATTAATTGTGATTGATTAGAATTGATTGTGATTAGGATTGTGATAGGATTGATTAGTCATCGCTTAGTCATTCTTAGCGATTCTTTCTTGTATAAATACTCACTCATGTAATTTATTCAATATCAATATACAAAAACTTCTTTTCAATATGGTATCAGAGCGGGTTCGTTCCTACCCTAATTCAAATCTGAAATAACCATCCAAACACTTCCATCACCGTCAAACACCTCCTAAACACCGCCTTGAATCTGTCCAACACAGAAACCTAGTTTACTGACCTCCGATCAAAAAAGTGAGGTGACCATTCGACTCAGAAGGATCCGACGAGTCGACCGTCGCTGGACCCATCGCCGTCAGCCGCTGCACGCGCCACCACGCGCCGCCTTCCAGACGTTTTTTTTCCGTCGCGACTTGCACAGACCTTCTCCCCGGCTTCTCCCCTTCCTGTTCCAGAGGTCAGATCAAAAGTTTACAAAACTTGATTTTTCATCAACGGTCAACCCTTCTCTTTTTATTCATGGCTTCCTCAAAACACTCTTTTTATTACCACGAGCAACCTCCTAAGGCCACTAGTCATGTGGTCCAGCAAGGTACAACTTTCCATGTTGATAGTCAAAATCATTGGATCCTTGATTCTGGAGCCTCTGATCATATGACAGGTAATCTTGGCTTGTTTTGTTCATACACTCCATATTCTGAACCTTCTCGGGTCAAGATCGCCGATGGCAGTTTTTCCCAGATTGCGGGACACGGAACCATTAAACTTTCTGAGCTGATTACTTTGACATCAGTTCTTTATGTTCCTTCTCTGACTTGTAATCTCATTTCCATTAGCAAGCTCACCTCTGAGTTGCATTGCTTTGCTAAATTCTTTCCACATGGTTGTGTTTTTCAGGAACAGGACTCGGAGAGGATGATTGGCAGTGCTAGAGAGGATGGTGGACTTTACTACTTTGAGGAGGATGTGACTCATGAAGCTGTTTTCGTAGAAAAAAACTCTATGTTTCCTTTTGATTCATGTAATGATGTTATGCTGTGGCATCGTAGGCTAGGCCATCCAAATTTTATTTATCTTCAGAAGTTGTTGCCAAACTTATTTATTAATAAAAGTCCAAGTTTGTTTTCTTGTGATATTTGTCAACTTGCCAAGCATACTCGTGCTCATTATCCTTCTAAAGTTCACCATGACTCTTCCCCATTTTCCTTAATTCATAGCGACATATGGGGTCCAGCCCGTGTTAAAAATATTTCAGGTACTCGATGGTTCATTACCTTCATTGATGACCATTCTCGAGTTTGTTGGGTGTATCTTCTAAAGGATAAGTCCGATGCTGCATCCGTGTTTAAAAAATTTCATGCCATGGTTCAAACCCAATTCCAAGTTGCTATACAAATTCTTCGTACAGATAATGGCAAAGAGTATTTTAACTCTATTCTTGGAGAATATCTTTCCCAACATGGCATCCTTCACCAAAGCTCGTGTCCTGACACACCCCAACAAAACGGAGTTGCGGAAAGAAAAAACCGACATCTCCTTGAAGTTGCTCGGGCTCTTATGTTTACCACGAGTGTTCCTAAATATCTTTGGGGAGAGGCAGTTCTCACTGCCTCGTATCTGATAAATCGAATGCCATCTCGCATTCTGAAATTTCAGTCTCCTCTTTCTAGTCTTGTTCGTATCTTCCCTTCCTTCCGATGTGTCTCCTCCTTACCTCTCAAGTTATTTGGTTGTGTTGTATTTGTCCATATTCCCTCCCATCAACGGTCTAAGCTTGATCCTAAGTCTCTCCAGTGTGTCTTTATTGGTTATTCTCCTACTCAACGTGGCTATAAGTGTTATTCACCCTCTCTTCGTAAGGTCTTTGTCTCTATGGATGTCACTTTTTCTGAGAATGACCCTTTCTTCCCCTCGACTTCTCTTCAGGGGGAGTCTATAGGAGTAGATGAAGATCAGTCATGGGAACCTATTAATGCCACAGTATTACCTCTACTTTTGGAAACAGGGGGAGCTACAGAATCCTCACCATCAGGAGTCTCCTCAACATGGGGACAAGTTTATAGCAGGCGAAAGCCTCCTCAAAGTGTGAATAACCCAGAGCCTCTACACTGCCAGGATTCTGAACCATGTTCTAGTTCCAGCACCCCAATACTTGAGTGTCATGGTGAAAATGATCTACACTTGCCCATTGCTCTCAGAAAAGGTACTCGATCTTGTACTACTCATCCTATTTCTAATCATATTTCATATGGAAAGTTGTCCCCAGGGTTTCGTGCTTTCAATACTATGTTGGATAGTACAAAGATACCGAGAAATATACATGAGGCTCTCAATGATAAAAAATGGAGGGATGCTGTCTTTGAAGAAATGAATGCTTTAGAAAGAAATGGAACTTGGGAGATAGTGACCCTACCCAAAGGAAAAAAGGCAGTAGGATGCAAATGGGTGTTTACAATAAAATTCAATGCAGATAATAGCATCAACAGATACAAGGCAAGATTGGTTGCAAAGGGTTTCACTCAGACTCATGGGATAGATTATCATGAGACTTTTGCTCCGGTTGCTAAAGTCAATACCATCCGAGTTCTCTTATCTCTTGCTGCCAATCTAGATTGGCCTCTGCAACAGTTAGATGTGAAGAATGCATTCCTAAATGGTGACTTACATGAAGAAGTCTATATGGATCCTCCACCTGGTTTTGAAAGGGGAAATGAATCAGTGTGTAAACTAAAAAAGTCTCTATATGGATTGAAACAGTCTCCCAGAGAATGGTTCGACAAATTCACACAAGCAGTCAAAAGAAGAGGCTTCATTCAAGCACAGACTGATCATACTCTCTTCCACAAACACTCTAAGGATGGTAAAATTGCTATTCTTATTGTATATGTAGATGATATAATTCTTACAGGTGATGATATTGAGGAATTGAACACCTTGAAGAAATTTCTAGCAGCTCAATTTGAACTCAAAGACCTTGGCACTCTCAAATTTTCCTTGGTATGGAAGTTGCTAGGAGCAAAACAGGCATCACTCTAACACAAAAGAAATATGTTCTAGATCTTTTGTTGGAAACAGGAATGTTAGGGTGTAAACCTGCTGAGACACCTGTGGAACCTAATACCAAGTTAGGTATTGAAGATGGGAATGAGGTGGATAAAGAACAATATCAACGATTGGTTGGTAAACTAATCTACTTATCTCATACGCGTCCTGACATTGCCTTTGCGGTGAGTATGATTAGTCAATTCATGCACTCACCCAAGGAGAAGCATCTTAGTGCAGTCTATAGGGTGCTTAGATACCTCAAGAATACTCCAGGAAGAGGATTATTCTTTAAAAAGGGGTATAAAAGGACAATTGAAATCTACACTGATGCAGATTGGGCAGGCTCATCAGTAGACAGAAGATCTACCTCAGGCTATTGCACCTATGTGTGGGGAAATCTTGTTACTTGGAGAAGCAAAAAGCAAACAGTGGTTGCAAGAAGTAGTGCTGAAGCAGAATTTCGAGCTTTAGCTCATGGAGTTTGTGAAGGAATCTGGTTAAGAAGACTTCTTCAAGAGTTGAAGATTTCATATTCCCTACCAATAAAACTATATTGTGACAACAAGGCAGCTGTTAGCATTGCTCAAAATCCTGTGCATCATGATCGAACAAAGCACGTGGAAGTTGATCGTCACTTCATCAAAGAAAAATTAGATGATGGAAGTGTGCATTTGATATATGTTCCAACCAAAGAGCAAACGGCAGATGTCCTTACCAAGGGCCTACACCGTCCAGCATTCGAAGACTTGATTGGCAAGTTGGGAATGATCAATATTTACCTCCCAACTTGAGGGGGAGTGTAGAAAATTAGAATTCAAACATGTTTCCGTTTTTATTTCCTATTAATTAGGATTGATTATGATTGATTAGGATTGATTATGATTGATTAGGATTAATTGTGATTGATTAGAATTGATTGTGATTAGGATTGTGATAGGATTGATTAGTCATCGCTTAGTCATTCTTAGCGATTCTTTCTTGTATAAATACTCACTCATGTAATTTATTCAATATCAATATACAAAAACTTCTTTTCAATAAGATATATAAAATCATTAATGTAGCCTCACCTAATAGCTTAAGCTTTTGGGTTGAACTGGTTCTTTACATGTTTATTGTTGAATCACTAACAACATAATTTTCGCTTGGAAAACTTATTATAGGATGTGAGAATTCAGTTAACTTGATTTTCTTCATGTTTTGTTGAATTAAATGCAAAGAAAAGAAAGATATATCATACATGAACTCAAGTGATTTCTTCTGTATGCACTGAACACTTAATCTCCACTCCACGGTTAAGTCTATGTGAACATCTTTTAGCTGAACTCTTGTGATCTCGCAGCGAACAGTCCCTGCTGCTGGAAACCTGGCAACACGGGTAGGAAACATTGGACATATTACTCGAATAGCTAATAAACTTGTTCACTTGGCACACAACCGAAGCAACATTCTAGCATGTCTTCAGGTTAGTTTTGTATAACCTACTTCCAGGTACGTGGTTCATGGTTTTCATAGTAAGTAGTATATGAAACTCTTCCTGCTCGTATAAATATCTGAAAGATATTTGATACATCATACATGCCTTGAATTACATCCTTGACAAATTTGCTTAAGCTTCATATGACAGAAGCTTTGGTGTCGTTTATTAACAGTCTTCCCCAAAAGTTCATTTTGTTTTGCATGGAGGACACAAGTCCTTGTTGTGCCTAGTTCACTTTCAGTAACATTGGCATCAACAGTGTTTAGGTTTTAGATCCCAGAGCAAGGTTTTTTCTTCTAAAGCACTGAATTGTTTTGTATGTGTTCCTCTTGGACTTCCTTGACCTCTCAGATGAATAGTTCTCCTCTGCCTTAAACCATGAGGTTTAACCTACATGTTGAATTATTGTTGGGATAAACTTTCTTTAAATACTACAACTTGATTTCTTCAACATCTGTAGGAGAACAGTAAATGGAATGAGTGGCAAGCTACAGTTCTTCAGGAGCGTAATGTGGTTGAGAATGTTCACCGTTGGGCTTGTGGGTAAGCTCTAATTTCAGTTATCTACCAGCATAAGTGTTAGTGGGAGTATCGAGATGTTTTTATTTTGCATAATGTCTGTCTTGATGGTGTAAATTTTGGTTTTAGTGATATAATTACAAGTGGGCAAGGCCGTGCCTTGAATGGGTAGTCTAAAATGTGAACTGAGGTTATCTCGAGCAATAAGGATTGGTTGGGCTTGATTTCAAAATGTGTATGACATAGACATTAAAAATATAAGGCAGTGGATGTTGTGAGTCCTTTATCCTTTTGATTGATCTCTTATCTTTCCTTGTTATGTGCAGACGTCCAACTGCATTACAAGATAGGATGAGGGATAGTGATGATGATGACCTTCATGACAGAGACTATGATGTTGCAGCTTTAGCAAATAATTTGAGCCAGGCATTTATATACAAAATTTATGGAAAGGAGGATAATGAAGAGGTTTGTAGTTGTTGTTTGCCTCTTCTTATCCTCTCTCTGCATGCCTGTTCATTATTGAATCATGTCCCCCCCTTTAGTTTCCCATATTTGCCTTATGGGTTGGGCAATGTCCTAAATGCTGGACTAACGAGGTGATGATCTTTGTTGCAGGAACGTGGTGGTCATGATCGAGATGATGAGGTAATAGTTTTGTTTATTTGTGGTATCTAAAGTAGTTTTATTTGATTGATTTCAGGGATTTTGAGAACCACTTGGCTCTTTAAAATGTCTGTTCATTTGGGAATTAGTTGACTATCTCATGCTTATTACAGCTCTGCCAAGCATACAGATTAACAATTTGACGTGTTCCGTAGCCTGTAATTTTGTAGTTTTACTATATTAAGCTTAAGTTGATTTACTTTTGTAGCCTGTCTCGAAGTGATGCTGCAATCAATCAAAATATATGGTGATATGAAACTAGGTATTTTATTACAGAAAATTGGGATAAACCCCAATTACAAAGATTAGAATCACAGATTCATCAATCTCACGCTCCACCAGATAAGAAAACAAAAAACAGAATATTGTAGAACTATCAGGGTCTGCAAACCTTCCTGCCCAAAGGCCTCAAATACTCACTCAATGTTAGGATGTCTTATTTCCTTCCTTTTCCTCCTCTTTTTTTTTGTTTTTTGTTTTTTTTGTTGTGAAAATCGTGTATTGACTTGATTTCTCCCATAGGAGTGGTTACAATATATACCGCTAATAAGGAAACAAATTATATACAAAAATCAATCAAATTAGTCCTACTTAAAATTAGAGGTGGCAAAGTGGGCGGCCCGCCCCACCCCGCCATCAACCCGCCAAAAAATGAGTCAGCCCGCCCCGCCCCGTTTGGCGGGTTGGCCGGCCAGCCCGAGCCTATTTTACACTGACCCGCCTCGGCCCGCCATCAACCCGCCAAAAAATGAGCCCGCCTCGCCCCGCCCCGCTTTTGAGATGAGTTGAAAAACTCAGCCCGCCCCGTCCCGTTTAGCGGGTTGGGCGGGTTGGCCCGTCGAGCCGAGCCCGTTTTGCCGGCTCTACTTAAAATAGATTAAAACAGATCCTATTTGATTTTATTTGTAAAGTCTTTCCTAAAGTATAAGAGAATCTTCAGGATTTTCCACACCCCCTTAAGGTGAGATGGATATGTTGATCATCTTCTACTTGTTAATTAAGTTTTCGAGGGTCACTCTATGTAAGCTTACAATGAGCATATTTGTGGTTTGACCTTGGTTGGAACATATGTCATACACACACACACACTCCTGTCATTTAATTTTTCCTGGATGAAGTGGCGACCAACTTTCATGTGTTTGGTCCTATCATGGTGGACAAGATATTGAGCAAAACTAATTGCTGCCTTGTTGTCACAATATAGCTTATTGGTAAGAAGTAGGAAACATGTAGCTCACTAAGGAGTCTTCTTAGCCAGATGCCCTCACAAATATCATGGGCTAGAGATCGGAATTCGACTTCTGCATTATCTTTGCCCATCATTGGTTGTTTCTTTTTCTTACTTCTCAGAGTCACAAGATTAATCAATACATAAGGGCAATAGGATGAGGTCAATCTTTTGTCAATTGCTGAATCAACCCATCTGCACCCGTATAAATTTCAATCATCCTTTTTTCCCCTTTTCTGAAGAACAATCCTTTGTCTTGTGTATTTTTCAGATACCTTAGGATCCTATAAATAACGTCATGGTATTGTTCCTTAGGGTAGTGCATGAATTGGCTGAACATACATACAACAAATGCAATATAAGCCCATGTGTGAGATAGATAAATTAGTTTACCAACCGCTCGCTGATATTGTTCCTTGTCAACCTCCTATCCACCTTCAATGCTCAACCTTAAATTAGGTTCCATAGGCGTCTCAGATAGTTTGCATCCAAGCATGCTTGCTTCTTGAAGCAGATCTAGGATATACTTTTTTGAGAAATTGTGATCCCTATCTTGCTCTAAGTTACTTCCATGCCGAGGAAGTGCTTATGGGCTCCAAGATCCTTTAACTCAAATTGGTCTGCTAGATATCTCTTTTGGGAATATAACTCTTCATGATCATCACCTGTAACAATTATGTCATCCATATAAACTGTAAGAATAACAATCTTACCATCTCGAAACGTTTGTGCAAGAGTGTGTCGGTTTGGGCCTATTAATAACTTTTTCCCTTTAGCTACTTGAGTGAATTTATGAAATCATTCTCTAGGGGACTGTATAAGCCTCTTCTGCATACCAAGCCACTTCCTTTTTCGAAACCAAGTGGGGTATCCATGTAGACTTCCTCATTTAAATCACCAGTTAAGAAGGAACTTTTCACGTCCAATTGTTGTAAGGGCTAATCGAGATCAGCAACAATAGACAAGAGAACTCTAATTGTGTTGATTTTTGCCACTGGAGCGAATGTCCCTCGATAATATGTCTCGTGTGTTTGTGTGAACCTTTTAGCAACCAATCTTGCCTTGTATCTGTTGATGCTGCCATCAACATTGAATTTTAGCATGAACACCCGCTTTCAACCCATTGGTTATTTTCCTTGAGGCAATGCCACAATCTCCCAAGTTCCATTCTTTTGTAAGACATCCATTTCTTCAAAGACAACTTGTCTGCATTTAGGATCATCAAGGGCTTCCAGGATAGTTCTTGTTATTTTTTGTACTATCCAATGTGATGTTGTAGGCACAAAAACTTTCTAGGAGATAAATAGAGAGATCGGATGTGTAGTATAGGACCTTGTACCTTTAATTCACATTCATATTTTGCTTGTATGTCTTTCTTGTCTTCTATGACTATTCCAAAGACTTGTAGGTGAGACTTTATCTCATTCATGATGGAAACAAACTATGATTGACAAGGTGTGTGCCCTTTAGAGCAGTGATACTTGGGATTTGGTTCCTCTTTTTTTGGGAAATCTATTGGTGGTTGCAGGTGGATATTCACTATCAATGATGGTCCTAATAGTCAAGTAGACCGTATAAAGGCCTGATTGGTGGCAGAGGAATACACTTGGGTGTTTAGACTAGATTAAGGGGATACATTCTCCCCCGTGGGGAAAATGACCTCAGTTCGCCTTTTCTTTTTTACGGATGCCATCCGTCACTAGCCTCTTTATTAGTTGGATATCAATAATGCTTTCTTACATAATGATCTTGCTGAAGAAGTTTATATGGACCAACCTCATAAGTTCGTTGCTCGGAGAGAGTCTGGTCTAGTTTCGCGTCTTTGCAAGTCTATATATTTAGGTTTGGAAGATTTGGCTTTGTTGTTCAATAGTTTGACTTGATGTGAAGTGAGGTTGACCACTCAATATTCTCTCGCCATTCAAGTTCAGGATCCATTTATTTGGTGGTGTTTGTTGATGATATTGTCATCACAGGTAGTGATCATTATGGCATAACTTATTTGAAACATCTCTGCCCGTATTTTTAGACAGAGGATCGTGGAAAACTTCGGTATTTCTTAGGAATAGAGGTGACCCAATCCAAATATAGTATTGTGATATCCTAGAGGAAGTATGCTGTAAACAATCTTGAAGAGACAACTCTGTTGAATGCTAAGTCAATTGATACTGACTGTTAAGCTTTTGTGAAATCAAAGGGAGCCATTCTCAAATCCTAAAAGATATATAAGATTAGTTGGGAAATTAAATTGCATCACAGTCACTCAACCAGAGATCTCATTTGTAGTCAGTGTGGTAATTTGGTTCCTTAATTCTTGTTAGAAACACTAGAATGCAGTAATTCACATTTTTAAGTATATCAAGACAGCTCCAAGTAAAGGTCTCCTTTACGAAGACCTAGAAACTCTTATTTGTGATAATCAAACTGCTTTACATATTGCTTCAAATCAAATGCTTAATGAAAAGACTAAGAACATTGAAATAAATTGTCATTTCATCGGAGAAAAGGTCCTTAAGGAGATATCGTCACTCATTTCGTTAACTTAAATGATCAATTGACCGGTGACTTCACTAATCATTGAGAGGTTCTCGAATAGAGTACATATGTAACAAGCTTATAACATATGATTTATATGTTCTAACTTGAGGGTGCGTGTTAAGAATATGGTAAATAGAGTAGTTATGCCTGAGGGAGAAAGTCCCACATTGTGTATTATTTCTTTTTATTTCATTTTACTCTATATAATAGAGCCTCCGCTGCATAATTGAAACACACGAATTTTTATATATTTCTTTCGTGTCATGATATTCAACAATAATCTATTTAGTTTCTGTTGCAGCCGTTACAACCACATGTAACTGACTCCTTCTTGTTAAGCTAGAAGCTTGTTGAACAAGTCTTGTATTACATTGTCTATATATCAGTCTAGTGTTCAGATCTGATATGATGAAAATGATAGAACAGTTCAGAAGTTTTCACTTTCTCTCAAATTCTCTCGCTTTTCTTTTCTTTCACATTACCTCTGAATCTTTGTATATCGCTACATAATAGTTTGCTTTGTATCCTAATTATGTTTATGGTTTGTAGTGACGTGGCACATTTGCCAGCTGTAATTGTAATCAGTTTAGTTTCTGTTGCAGCAGTTACAACCATATGTAACTGACTCCTTGTTCTTCAAGCTATCAGTCAATGTCCGGATGTGTTATATCCTTCCTTTTCCTCTTTATCTTTACTTCTAAACCTTTCCGCCCCCCTCTTTTGCTCCTTACTCATAATTCCCACGTGGTCGTCTAGCGTAGCAGTGCCTAACATATAGTGTTCTTGATCTCTTTGTTAACTAATTTGATAGTTTGTCTGTTTTATCAAATGCAGGATACCTACTTCGACGATGATTCTGCTGAAGTAGTCATATCGTCCCTAAGACTTGGTGATGATCAAGGGAGGTGAGTATTATTTTGTCATATATTATAGCCATTCACTATGTTAAGAGGAATTTGATTTCATGGATTTATCAAGCAGTGTGATGTTAGTTTTATGCAAAATAACATGTATACGTACATGCATGCATACAATGATCAACTCATTTGTTATGCCCCATGTGCGTACAAATATTCGTGTGTGCATGTGTTGTTTTTTGTCCCTCTATTTTGCCCAGCAAGTGTTTTTTCAGGTTTTCCTGTATACTTCAGCTTCTTTCAAGTGTTATCCGTTATTTCCTTAATTTTTTATGTACTTTTAATAAATATGACAGAGGAGTGTAGTTTGCAGTCACAGACTGGAGAGAGACATATCCTTTTAATGCAACAATGGAAGAATTAAATATGGATGGATATGGAAGAAACAGCATATTACCAGATTCTATTGGCATACTTTACTTTGTGAAGTACCTATAGATCCTCTATTAGGGGATTTTGTCCTTTCCTTCCCGTTTTCTTGCTGTTGTAACAATCTCAAGCTGTAATTTATACAAATGTTCACATCCTGTGATAGAAATAAAATATGCTTTTTCATTTTCTTAACCCCTGAAGATATTTCTCAGTTTTAATTTTCTGCTTCATGATGTTACTTGTCTCTGCCTCCCACAGCTATTCACCTCCATTGTACGCAGAAACTAGTACCATGGGGAGGCTAAATGATAGAAGTGGATAGAGTAAGGAGGTTAAGTAGCATTTAGGAGTTTGGATAGGAAATAAATGCAGCATAGTATAATTTGAATATTATGATTAGGTACGCTTTTTGAATTTAGTAGATGTACACAATTTATAATTATTGTTCATTAAGATTGACCAAAGGAAACATGTGAATGATCATCTTATATTTGTTACAGTTTTATGCACAATTATCCATTGGGTCATATTTCAATTTTGTTTCTGCTTTCACCTTGTACATGTAAATTTATTTGAAAGTTTCATTTATCCACCTATTTAAATATGTTCTGTTCCTGCTTGTTGCTGGATTTACATGGTTGTGCTAAATTCTTTTTTTTTTAGTGTTTAACGGTATTTAGACATAACTTGTAGTTGCTGGCTCTTCAACCTCTGAAAAACCTGGTTAAGGTGCATTGCTTTACGGTTTTTGGTGGATGGTTGCTTAAATTGGCAGCCAAGCTTAGGATGTCCAAGGTATTTTTCTATTTCATTCATCATTAGATATTGATGCAGTCATTTGTTTTATGCAGTAATCTGTTTACAAACTCCAACTGGTTTGCATTCCAAGATGACAGAAATGTTGACGCTCCTGGGTCCACATCATCCTCTGAGATGATGGATGAAATAAACTTGAATGGAGCTGCAAATGGTGGTAGCAACAGTAGTGACGATGAGGTAGTGGTTGATGAGGATGAAGAATTGGCTGACAGCAAAAATACCACGAATGGTACTTCTAGCTCAAGCTCAAGCTTATTTAGCGGATTAACTCCTTGTGATTCCGTGGATGAGGGTGTTTTAAACTTTGAAAATGAGAAGGCAAGGGCTTCGCATGATATGGGATTCTTCAGGTTTGAGGCATCGGACAATCAGGACTTGTTTAGAGATAGGCATTTACCTGATTGGGTAGGATGGGGTGAACCATCAGATATGCAAGTTGCCAGCTCAAGCATGAACCCCTTTGTGGATCACGATGAGTCTGGAAATAATATGTCGAGAAAGCCTGAAGTAGGCAGCCCTCGTCTGAGTTCTTCAAATGGGGAATCTGTACCTTCAAATGGGTCACCAACCAATAGAGATTCAATCAACGGCGGTGGTGACTCGAGTCAGAGATCCGTAGCAGTACCCTCACTCTTTGAAGAGGATGTTGAATTTGTAGGTGTAGAATTAGAAGGTGCTGAGAAGGCAATGGATCAGGCTCTCAACGAAGGGATAGTTGGGGAAGCGGGACCATTGAAAAAAAACATAGTCTCGGAAGTGCCGGAAAAGGAAAATTCTGAAGAGGGCAGCCCTGGAATGAAGGAGTTCAATGATGCAAATTACTGGAGGGTTGATCAAGAGGTTGCTGTTCGGGAGTGATGAACACGGTGATAAATCTTGGTTTCATTGTTTGTATGAAAAATTGGGCTAACACCAGTGGACCTTATTCTCGGTTCGCAAGGTTATGCAACAAATTAGTGTACAGTATATTTTTGTTTCAATTTCTTTCTTTTTCTGTTGTTTCTGCTCATTAGATATTTAGCTTGTTTATTAATTCGAAGTTTTGCCCCTTCCTAAAAGTGATATAAAGCAATTCTGACATTTATTGAACATTTATTCTGGTCTTCATGTTGATTTTTATTTGCATTCGTTATTAATGCGGCTGCCCATTAATAAGTTAGCCAGAGTGTAATTTTCTACATCAGCGAGGATTAAACGCTTCATGTTGGTGAATCTTTGTATCGTCTGTACATAACGAGTGTTGGTTGAAATGTGTCAAGAATAGGATCAACATTTGTTAGAATTGTCATTTGCAATAATCTACAAGATTTATTATTTTTATAGCTTGTATCGTTTCAATGTTAATGGATGAAAGTTGACGAAAGCTGCTTACAAGGTTTCTGCCGTTTTCTTTTGTTTAGGAGTAGATTGCACTTGTCAATTAAAACTGATAATTTGCAGTGTTATTTGGTTTATATTCTGTTTTTATTTTTAATTTATATGGTTTCATTAACAATTATAATTTTTAAAACCGGTAAAGAAGATGAAAACTTTAAAAATATTATTTTCATTTCTTTCACAATATCTTAGAAACAAGAAATAATACTGTTAAAATAATGCGATATTTTTATAATTATGAATGAAAATTCATCAATAAAAAATAATAACAAAATAAAATAAATTAAACGCAACCTAAAAATCTCCTTCTCGGCATGCTCTGGACAGTTGCAGTTGTGCCTCGGGCCAAGCTCACGGTCACGGATAATGTAAATGTCAAGTGGTGTGTTCAAGTTCGTTTGAGTCATGTTACGTAGGGATGTTCAAAATGTTCAAAAAGAATCAAACCAATTTATAATCAAACTGTTTCACATTTAAAAAATTGATTTTTTTTAAACCGGTTTCATACAAAACTGCATTTTATTTTATAAATTGGTTATTTATCCAATCATAAAAATAATTAGTTATCGATAACCAAACTGCTCTACTTTTTCCAAACTTCAATTTTCGTTGTGGTTTGTTTTTTGTTTTTTTGTTTTTTATTTTTTTTGTATTAGTAGCACTTGCCTAATGCTAAATTTTATGATGTATTATTAACACACTCAATTTTAGGATAGATTTTCCTTTTCTTTTTCCAAACCTCGTGCCAATTTTCTTTCGGATAGATTTTGATCCATAAACATGACGCTTACAGTAAAAAGGAATTTGAGCTATGGCTTTTGTGCCAATTAAGCAAGATTTAAGGAAGCTTGAACCCATGTTCTAACAGAACCTCCTTCCGGGTGTGCTCATCTCATCATTAAATGATAGGCTGTTGGGTGCAGTTTTGTTGGTTTTTTTTTTTGGTTACATGGTTTTTATTTTGTTTGTGCTGTTTGTTTTTAATTCCCCAAAATTTGAAGAAAAAAAAAACCTCTATTTTCTCAACCAGATCAAGATCCCAAATAGATCTTCAATGGCTCAAATCGGGAGAAACAACTACTTATAAAAATAGTACAATTTATGAAAAATTGATTTTGAATTTGTTATAAAATCGGTTTTTAACTTGATAACCGGTTTATGATTCATAACCGGTTTTGATTTAAAACCGGTTTTGAATTAAAACCAGTTTAAAACCGGTTTTAAATCAAAACCGGTTATGAACCATAAACCGGTTTTGGAACTGGTTGCAAACCGGTTTTGAAACTGGTTTCAAACCGGTTTGGAAAATTAAAAACTGATTTTAAACAAAGAAAACCGGTTCGGTTTGAAAACCAAACCGTTTAAAATCAGTTCGGTTTGATTTTTTTCAAAACCGGTTATAAACCGTTCCATGCACACCTCTAATGTTATGCGTTGCTCTTCACCTTTCTAACTTGAAAATTCAATTTAATTACTTAAATTTTAATTATATTTTCTTTGTATCAGCATTATTTATTTATTTATTTATTTTTTAACTCAGATGGTTCATCAAGGATACACGTACAAAATATGTGTTGAAAGGTAATACAACAAAAATAAGATTTTAAACTAACACTCAATCAAATTTTATGAATTTGACCAAAAATAAAAGAATGAAATTATGCACGTTCTAACGGTTCTTAGGCTGATGTGTATTAATTATTTAAGATGTACTCTATTAAGAAATTATGTCTGTTGATTTGATGCAACTTTAATCCATGAGTATTTACTAGAACAAGATGTGGAATGTACCAGTAAGACACTCTGAAGCTTAAGTCAGTTCAAGTTTCAAGCAGGTTCATTCATCTAGGAGAAGATGTATACCTTCGGTTAACGCATGTATTTGTAGTGGAGAGATGATAAGCTTGGGAGATGCTTTTCTTTATGAAGGCAACAATCTCTTTTTATTGGTTCTTGTGGGTGACTTTGAGATAAGCTTGTGCTTAGATGCTAATTTTTTTGCGGTGAAGTATGGAAAGAAGTTTGAGGAAAGTGACTTGCTGAGATGTAGCAGCCTTTGTTGACTTGAGTCTTTTCTTCATAGTGAAGGCTTTCAATATGAGTCTCATATTAATATTTCACATCAATCTTAAATATGTATTACAACATTATATAAGTATGAAATAGTTGTGAATTGTGGTAATTGCAAATAGATAAAAGATTATGCATATAAAGATAGTAATCCAAATATATATAATGTTATTTAGAACACAGAATTAATTATCATAGGTGAGGACTTAGTCATTCTTTATAAGAGGGGAGGAAATTTTCTTCTCTTAATTAGTTGCCTATGCCATAAAATGACGGGTTCTGAGGAGAAGTAAGATAACTAAACTAAAATTGTCTTATGATGAGCACTCATATGCTAGTAAGAACTATCCAATACCTCTTCTTCCTATTTGGAGATTGAATGATAGGCCAAAGTATGGGGTTTAGTTATTGTCGGTGGTAAAATTTCTATGAAAATCGTTATCAATTGTAATTATCCAATGAATTCCTTACCACGATCAACAGTTCTATCCAATAGAACATTTCTAGGAACAATAGTCAAGATTTTGAAAATTAAGGTTGCCTTACTCTGTCGTGTTGCCTAATATGTAAAAAATTAATTCAATTTAAAAGCGTAAACTATTGAGTGATTACCTTCTTTTTAAGGGTTTATATTATGGGGAAGGAGATTGTGACAACCAAGTGACTACCAATCAATCTCACCGTTAGATCGATTATATTGATCCAACGGTTATATTTATTTCCATCTTTGTATGGTCATGATTCCCCATATTTAAAGTAAAAGCATTAAATATAGGAAATCATAATCATACAAAGGTGAAAATAAATATAAAGTATTAAATTTGGGGAATCATGACCATACAAAGATGAAAATAAATATAACCGTTTGATCAATATAATCGATCTAACGATAAGATTGATTGGTAGTCACTTAGTAGTAACACAACTTGGTTGTCACAATATCATTTCCCTTATATTATTCTCTAACATATCCCCTCACCCAAGAGCCTTTTAGGCTTGAAGCATAATATTGTATAGACCTAAATTTTAATTTACCTTACGCTTATTTAATTCCACCAGAGAATGAGGGGTTGTGAGAATTGAATTTGTGACCTTGTGGTCACTCAAACTTTGATACCACATAAAGAATCAATTCAAACTAAAAACTTAAATTATTAGGTAATGATCTTCTTAATGATTTATATTATTCTCTGACCTAACAAATTCCCATCACTTCTGGCGTCACCTGTTACATCTTTGTCTGCATTATTAATATGGCATGCACTACAAACCTGTTCTTGATTGACCATTTTATCCCTCTTTCAAAATTAATTTATTATTTTTTTTCTTTTCTTAAATTATATACCAATGTGACAATGTCACTCTTCTTAAACTATTCATCAATATGTTTTTGTTTGACCAAAGTTTGACCAAGCCACGGTAACAAAATAATTTTTAGCCACGTTAAAAACCATAGCTAACTTACCAAAAAAATGATGGCTAATATAAATAAATCACCACAACTTTTGAGAAAGAAAAAGAATAATAAAAGCTGGTAGCTCAATTAATAATAAATAATATTTTAAAGTAATAATAATATTAAAGGTTCTATATTTCGTTTACCAAAAAAAAAGGTTCTATATTTCACGCATAGCATATTCTTCTTTCATTCTTAATATACTAATTTTCTTTTGTATTAGCCAAGTACGTATAAGGTCTCTTATAATTAAAATATATAATTTTGTAAAAAAATACATAATTTAGTTGCTAAAAATTAAAAAAAAATGAAATTAATAAAAGTATATTTGATTTGCATTAAAAAATTAAATAATTATACAATATATTAATGCCATTTAAAAATAAATCAGTGAAAATAAAAATCCACTTAGGATAGTGATTGAAAATAACTTATTAAAACCTATATTCAGCGAAAATGAGTAATAATAAGTTTATTTTTGTATAAAAAAAGGTTTTGCATTTGTCATGTCGCGTGATAAAAGTTGAGTTTCCTCTCTCTCTATATATATATCTCGATATTTATGTTGTATTTTCTTTTTTCTTTTAAAAATAATAGACCTCACATTGGTTGTCTCTATAGCATAACAAGATGATTGTCCTCCAACATGATACTTGTTTTTTACATAAAAAAAATACTAATAAATTTTAAATTAATCTAATCCTCCTTTAATAATAGTGGAGAGAATCAAAATCTCAAATCGCGAAAAATGGTAATAAGTTATGTATATACAAATTATTAGTGCAAAACAAATACTAATTGATTGGTGGATATAATATATACACATGTAAGTTGTAAATATTACATACCCATAATAAAAATTTATTGAGAAACAAACGTGCATTTACATTTTATATAATTGTAGTATGAGAAAAAAAATTATAATATATCACAATATTTTTTTTGTAAGGCAAATACCCCTTCTTTTATCGAATTAAGGCATTTTCTTTGGCACTAAACTTTATGACACTTAAACTTCGCAATCTAAATTTAATTTATTCTCTTTTTAAGGATATATATCAACGACTTGTATTCCTTATACGAGAAATCTGTAAATACTTTCCCCCTTTTCTTCTTGCAATCCGTATTGGTAAGAATCGGTTTCTTTAATGATCAATCACTAATTCTTTTTTAACTGGTCAGACTGCAAACGTGGAGAAATTCAATTTGCAAGGCGCAAGAATTAGGGACATTGAACGTACTCTTTCCTTTTTCTAGAATAATATACTGAAATAGAGTGCAAATATTTTTTCAAAACTGCCACGACACTATATTTGTTAGGGTACTTAGTTATTA